ATATATATTATATATATGTATATATGAAAAATATATCAAAAATGCATGTGGGTACTCAAATGAAAGCTCTTGATGAGTGTAACATCAGGATGAGCTTATATCTTTAAAAACTTCAATAGTTAACAAAGTACAGTACAATTTAACAAAAGTATTAATAAAAAATTGTTTTGTTATTTTTTTTTATCAGTCTCGTTAATCAGGAATTTTTTCAGACAATTTTATGTAACAAAAACAAAGCAAAAAAATAATTTTCTCTTTTGCGGTCAAAGATCTTCGGGGGGGTTTGCATTCTATAATAATATTACAACTGTTAGAGCCTCGAGTTGGGGTAAATTATCTTGAATAGTTGATAGTATGGAGTATAAAGAGTGTACCCTTGGTTTTAGTTGCAGAAATGAATAACAGTGATTGAATATAAGATCTCACAATTTCATCTCATTACATGTGTTATGTATAGTAGTATGGGCATGTTACGTTGCTCAGATGAAAGCATGCTCGCCGGATTGATAGGAAGGTATTGAGCGTAAACACCATGCATAGAGCTTCAATATAAATATAAACATAACAGAGAAGATATGACTGCAAGTACTGCAAGAGATATTATCCGAGTTATATTAGCGCTACAGCATCTGGGTGATACCAATGGGTAGTTCGGTCAGATGCGAGGAGAGCTACAACCAACCTGTCGTCGATTCAAACAACTTTCTTCAAAGATTACCTCTTGCTTTTTTATTTTATTTCCAGTTTCATAGAATCAAACTTAACAGAAAGATGCTAAGGATAATATTGACATTAACATTACCTATAGTGTCATGATGAAATCTTATCATGCAATTGGCATTGGAATAATGCCGCTTACTTATAGAATATAAAATGTCACTAATATTTCGTAATTATTGTTTGTTAATAATCCTTTTTAAACGCTCGTCCTTTTATTTCAAGAATATCAAGATTAAATTTAATACGTTTGCAAGTGATTGTGTTTACATTTGTATGTTTATTTATAGATGGGAAAATTCAGTCACTGTGTGAATTAATTATATGTAAAAAATATTTTTTTTTAATTAAAATATTTTTATAATTATGAAATATTTAATTTTTAAAGAAGAAAAAATTTTTTTTGAGTAAATTTTTAATTTTAAAGTTCAAAAATGAATTTTTACTGTTTTTTTAATTAAAATTTTATTAAAAATTTAATGCAAAGTATTTTATAAATTTTTATTTTTGAAAAAACTTTAAAAATTATATTTCTTCTTTATTTTTAGACAAAAATAAAATCTTGTTAATTTTTATTCAAAAATAAATTTATAAATACATGTTAACAAAATTTTCCTTATTTTTTTAATAATAAACATGAAAATATATTATTTTAAAATCATAATTATTTAAAAAAAAAAAGTGTAACTTTGTTATAATTAAAAACAAATTTAAATAAACAAAAATTCTAAAGGATTGCAAAAGAGTGGAATAATAAAAAACAAAATTTAATTTAGACAGTAATAAATACAAGGTATTGACATTAAAAAGAAAAAAAAACATATTTATATTATGCATCTCTGATAAATCATACAAGCTGGACATAAATATTAATCGCTCGATATGTTAATGAAATATTATTACAAGTTTGTAATATTATTTATTCTCAAGCATTCAAATTTAAATAAAATTAATTCGTTAATTTATTGGAAAGTTCAACAGCCAGGAAATTTATTTTGATCAGTGCTCGATTGATAAAATTATATAAAAAAATTAAAAAAAGAAAGTAGCGCCGAAATTTCTTTGACCTTAAAATAATCAAACGACAAATAATTTAAAAAGTGAAATTAAAACAAAAACAAAACTATAAAAATTAATCAGCCAACATCTAAAAATTTTAAAAATTTTCTTTTATTTAAAAAATTATAACAAAAAAAATTTTTAATTTCTAAAAAACTGGAAAAACTACAAGTGCAATTTTTAAATAATTTTTTTTTTTTAGTTATAATTTAACAAATAAAAAATTTTAAACTTTGACTAACTTTAGTATTATAAAAAAAATGAAAATTAATTTAGCCAACATTAAAAAATTATTTGAAAAAAATTTTTTAATTTATAAAAAACTTGAAAAACTGTAAGTGCAATTTTTAAATAATTTTTTTCAGTTATAATTAAATTAATAAAGAAATTTAAAACATGAATTAACTTTAGTATTATAAAAAAATGAAAATTAAGTTAGTCAACATTGAAAAATTATTAAAAAAAAAATTTTTAATTTGCAAAAAACCTGAAAAACTACAAGTGCAATTTTAAAATAACTTTTTTTAGTTATATATTTATAATTAAAAAACATCAGTCAAATTTAGTAATAAAAAAAAAATGAAAATTGTTAGCTAACATTAAAAAATTATTCAAAAAAATTTTTAGTTTGTAAAAAAACTTGAAAAACTATAAGTGCAATTTTAAAATAATTTTTTTTAATTATAATTAATTAAATAAAAAAAAATCAGCTAAGTTTAGTAATTAAAAAAAAAACTCACCATACATAGGTCCAACAACAACCATGACAACAATCATCAAAACACAAATCCTCCTCTGTCTATTATTCGTGCCCTCTTTAAACGCGACCCTAAAAGTCTCAGAAATATGCCGGAAGGCAAAAAAGTCAGCGACACTTCTGCAAAGCGACATTTTCTCTCCAGTATTTTCCGGGTTGGCCATGGGCGGGCGAGGAACTTCCTTAACCACCATGAGCCCATAGACAAAACTGATAACATAGCACACAGTAGAAATAGCAAAGACCCCATAGAACCCGATCTTCATGTAAAGAATCCCCGAGAGGGACATCCCAATGGGAATCCCCACAGAGAGGAAAAGATTAACAGTGCCAATCCTGAGCGTCCTGGACTCTACTGTAGTTATATCCCCGACGTAGCTGAAGACGGCCATGAGCATGGTGAACCATCCTCCGGTAACCGCTGGCCAGAAGGCCTCGGCGAGGGCAGCAACCTCCATGGGCAGCTCGTAGAACCAGTAAGTACACGCGAGGAGGCTCACGCTGGTGAGGAACTCCCCGACGATCGGCAGGAGCATGCAGGGCTTCCTGTGGCCAGTCCTGTCGCTCCAGGCCCCGAGGAAGAGGATCAGCAGGCTCGGGAGTCCGCTCTGAAGGGCCAGCTTCCAGGTTTGCATCCCCGCGACCAGTTGCTGGACCTGGGCCTCCTCTTCTCTGTAGATAGAGGTGTTTCTCGCGGCCAGGGCCGAGCAGACGTCGTCGGAGTAGCCCAGGTTGACTCTGCAGGCCTTCTCCAGGTTGAGATTTTGCGTCGCGAGGGAGGCAAGGACACTCGGCATTATGTAACACACTACCATCGGCTCCACTGTTATGCTGCTGAAGAGAAAGTTGCACTTTTGCTGGACGCTCATCGACTTCCAAGTTAGCACTTCCTCCGTCAGCGACTTCTGCTGGTCCTTGGTCACGTTGTTGTTAGTCATCTTGCTAACAACTGCTCCTTTACTTTCTCTGTTTAAGATTGGTCTGAAGGCACTTGAACAATCCAGAGAATTTTAATTCTTCAGGAGAAAGACTGCTGCTGCTCCTGGAGACTTTGAAGGAGAGTCTGATGGAGCTTGAACAGTGATCTCGACTTGGGCACTTGGACACTACTGGTTACTGCCGGTGGGATTGCCCGGACGCTGTCTACCGGAGTCTGCTTCTACTTCTCTTGCTCGTGCCGTACAACACCGTACCGTGGCATATTGTGCATTGCGTGTTACAGGTCTCCCTCGGCCCCTCTTCCTCGCACTTACCCAGAGCTCTCCCTCTCAGATCGACGGTACTCACTACTTGCTACTTGCCTATGTTCTTCACATCGCACACTGATCACTCATCTGCTGTGGAGAGGCTAGTTGCTAGTTACTGGTTGCTTGTTGCTAGTTATGCCTAGAGTCCATCCACCTAGCACTTGCTAGTATTTCTTCTTTAGAAACACCTTTTTTTGGTTTAGTCTTCCTATTAAGAGCTGCTCTTCCTACTGTCAATTCTAATCTAGATTCCGGGCTTTTATAGCTGAGTAATTGATAAAAGTCGGGGAAAATATTTTTTCGGATTTTTGGTGGGAGAAAAATTTTTTTTTTTTTAACTTTATTTTTTAATTAAATTGTCTTTTATTTTAAGGAAAATTTTTTTTAAGGTTTTATTTTATTAAATAATTTATGGTATTTATTGGAAAAAATTTATTTATTATTATCAATATTTAAAAAAGAAAAAAATTGTTTTTATTTTAAAATTAATAACAGCAGGAATTTTTTTTTTATTTTAAAAATTAAAAATAAAATTGACTTTTTTTAAAACATTTAAAAAATTATCTTTTTCTTTCTTTTTTTTTTTTTTTTAAGGCAAATTTATTATTATCAATATTTAAAAAAGAAAAAAATTGTTTTTATTTTAAAATTAATAACAGCAGGAATTTTTTTTTTATTTTAAAAATTAAAAATAAAATTGACTTTTTTTAAAACATTTAAAAAATTATCTTTTACTTTCTTTTTTTTTTTTTTTTTAAATTTGAATTTTTTTTAAGTTTTATTTTATTAAATAATTTTAAAAAAACTAATTTATTAAAATGACAATTTAAAAAAAAAAATTTTTTTTATTAAATTTATTTAATAAAAATTTATAGAATTAAAATAATAAATAAATTATTGATAAAAACATTTTATTTCTTCTTTATTAAAAAAAATTAATTTATTATAATAAAAATTTGTAGAATTAAAAACAATAAATAAATTATTGATAAAAAAATTTTATTTCTTCTTTATTAAAAAAAATTACAAATATTTTTAATTAAACAACTTTCTGGATTATTTGGTGTAAATAAAAAGTTTTCAAGGTTTTCTATGATCTTAAATACTTCTTACTATCTCTATCTAAAAAAAACAAATCTTAAATTTTATTTACAATTTAATTATACAAACAAACAGCTTAAAAAGTGAGTAGTGTGATGTGACAATTCAAGGTTATTGCCAAATTTTATTACCAAAGATAATTTTCAAGCAGCCACTACGTTTCATAGTAAGCTACGTAGTTGAGTAAATAGAAATATTAATAGAATAAAAACTACGGAGAAAAAGGTGATTTATATTACTTAAGATTGGAAATAATTTGAAACACAATACAATGATAAAATAAAATTAAATTAAATTAGATTAAATAATGCGGGATGAGATATTGTATGTAAGGTCATTGTAGGAAGTAAACAGGTTCTTTGAAGTTCACACAGTAGTGTAGATGTCAGGTGAATGTTTTATTTACTTACATTACATACTTTCCCATCGTCTAAAGGGAGAAGAAATTCTTGTTGCGTCATCGATAGTTTCTCGTTTTATCTTCTCGATATAGATTCACTTTTTATATCAGCAATTTTCGTAAAATATTTTTTTCCAAGAAAATTAATAAACTTAATTAAATATAAAAGTCAGCATGACTACTTTTATTATCTTTTTTTTTTTCTTCGGAAGTGAATATTGGTGTAATTATTATAATTGAAGAAGAATATACTCAATTTGAAGATTATACACAGAAAAAAAATTAACTTCAATCAAAAGAAAAATTTATTTATTTATTTATTTATTTTAATGCCAATTGGCATTATACAACAATTAGTACATTACTTAAATTATAAAATATAAAATTGTAAATTTTTTAATTCTAAAATTTTGGCTCGAAAATTGTACAAAAATTTATTTAGTGATACCTAGAAAAAATTAATTTTTTTTCTATTAAATTAAATTAATAATTTTGAAGAGTTTAATTGTCTTAAATTAAGTCGAAAAATTTTTGAATTAAATAAAATTTATTTAAATCAAGTAAAATTTCTTAGTTTAAAGAAGCTTATTTTCTTCAAAATTATTTACTTTATTTAAATAAATTTTTTTTTTTTTGAGTACTGATCAAAAAAGCAATTAAAATAAATTGAGTAAATAAATAAAAAATTTAAAATTTAAAATCAGTGAAAGAGGGAAACAAAAACGTGAAGAGCGAACCCCGGGACAGGTTTGGCAGGACGAGACAAATATAAATAACCTTTGGAAGATACGTTCAACGAACCCTCTGAATTTTGGTGTTAAATAAAATGAATGTCCCCGTAATTTATGATTTAATTACTTGGGAGTTTGGATAAAGAAAAAAAAACGGTATCGAAAAACAGAGGCTGGAACAAATAAACTTTTAGTTCATGGTGAATTTTACAGTTGAATAGATAGCGAAAACATTGTTCGTCTCACTTTCATGGATAGAGCCTTGGATCTTTCACCTTCGGAATGTAGGAAGCACCGTTGCCCGGTGGTTACTTAGTTTATCCTTTATTTCGCTCTTTCTTCCCCATTATTATCCTCATCATCCTCCGCGTCATCACCTTCATCGGCGTTATCATCACAATCATCTTCTCTCCGCTTACATCCAGAAGCAGCATCAACCTCCGCACCGGCAATCCACCAATAGCACTTGATAAGTTTACTACTTGGACTATTCTAGCGCTCTTTCTACCTTATACACATCTCCTTCTCGTCCGGCCTCCATCAAAACATTAATTTAAGTGTTAACAATGATAGATGACACATGACAACAATGTGCCAGTGTATTTATACTCTTGACCTTGAATTGGTGGAGGAATAACAGGTTTAATTCTTAATTTTATCAATTATTCTTTTAATGGATTGTTAGTCACAATTAATTAGAAAAAAATATTTCTTTTTTATTGTAAATAATCAATAAAATTATAAATTTTTGATTTTTTTATTGATAAATTTATTTTTATAATTAAAAAAAGAAATATTTTGATTATTATCTTTGTAATGGACCTTTAAATATTTATTTTTTATTTTGAGAATAAATTTTTTATTATAAATAAACTAATTTAATTTTGAGAAAAAATATTAATAATAATTAATAAGAAGAAATTTAATTAAAAACAACAAAATTCAAGAAGAAATCTTTTTGTTAATTACTTATCTATATTATTAAGAGAATAAGCAAAATTTTGTGGCCAGAATGGTCATATGATAAAATCTAGATGCATAATTAAGAAATTACCTTGTATCTTGTGAACTATTGACATTTTTTAAAGATATAAGCTCATCCCGATGTTACACTCATCGAGACCTTTCATTTAAGTACCCACATCAATTTTTCATATATTTATATATATATCATATTATATATATGTATATATGTATATATGTATACATGAAAAATATATCAAAAATGCATGTAGATACTCAAATGAAAGCTCTTGATGAGTGTATCATCAGGATGAGCTTATATCTTTAAAAATGTCAATATTTAAGAAAATATAGTACAATTTAACAAAAGTAATTATTCAATAAAGCAAAATTTTATTTATTTATAGTTTACAAGTCACAGCAGTCACATAGTGACTGCAAGGTGCTAGTTTATTAAAAATAAATCTTTAAAAACAATTTTAAGGGAAGAAAACTCAAAAAATATTTATTTAAATCATTTTTAGGCCGACTAACAATAAAAATGATCAAATGATTCTGTCTCCTTATAAAGCTCTCAATGATTAACAAGGATTTCATAGTCTCTAAAAGACAATTCCTCGCCATCAAATGGAATATAAAGACATCCGTGGCTGGGTTGAATTTTGCCAACAGTTTGCGCGCCATTGTGAAGAACACGACCTACGTAAAGAGGTTCTCCTTCAGAGGTTTGTCCCCCTACAACAGCACCCTCAGGAATGACTCCATTGCTCGCGAATTCCCACGCAAATTCTCCTTGACAAAGTACCTGGAAAGAAAAAAGTTGTTCCATTGGAAATCTTATCTCATTATCGGCGCGAATTATCGCTATCTTATTATCAACCTATATCGATATTAAATGTAGAAAGAAATAGATATGAAATAAAATTACTTCAAATTCATGTTTCGTATGCTCTTCGCCGGCGTGACAAACGTATGCGGCCTGTTTGTCTGGGATTACTTTAGCTGGAACTGTGTCTCCATTATGGTATGCGCGACCAACGTAGATTGGACAACCATCAACGTCTTTACCTCCTTTAACAGCCGTCTCCGGAAGTGGTTGACCCACATGTCGTGACACCCATCTGTAAGCTGATTTAAATATCCTTTGATATTTTTCTTTTCTTATATTTTATTATATTTTATACCAAAAAGGTTATTTTTATCGCTGGTCAATTTATCGCACTGATTTTTTAAGACCCTTCCGCTCAATAAAATACCCAGGTTTTAAATTTTTTATTATACTTACTTTCGAATTATAAAGCCCGTTAGTTGTCAATTGCAATAAAGAAAATTATTTTTTATTTTTTTATTTAAGATTTTATTTTTTGCGGCTTAAATTCAGGATCGGACTTTAATTTTTTATTTAAAAATTTAAATAAAAAATTTTATAAATATTTTAATTAATTTTTAATATATCTTTTTAATGATAAAAAAAAAGTTATATCATTTTTATAACTCTATTTTATATTTTTAAGATTGCTCAATGATTGTAAAACTATTATCATAACTAAATTAAAGATAGCGACTTTACGTAATTGATGATAATTTTTTTAAATAACGAACTGGAGCCTCGTGCCAATTGGTCATAAATTTTTCGTCAAGGTTTTTTTTTCACTGCTAATGACAAGTTTTTACGGCTGTTAATTATTTATGTGATAATAAAATAGAACTGTTTAATGAATCGTAATTAAAACAAAGCGCTAGAGTTAAATTTTATCTAAAAAATTTCTTCACTATTACTATCATTATTATTATTATTATTATTATTATTATTATAGCGATGAAGAAAAAAATGATGAGCAATTTTGGATAAAATAAATAGAATCTTACCTGGCATTTTGATCAGACTCACTGCGCGTAGAAGCAAAACACTAAATGGTTATCTTTTTTAGCACTCCTAATAAGGAATCTGCACTATCTTATCGCAATGTTTACTCAGTCTGTTCAAATGTCCAATTTCCCAGAAACACCTATTACTTAGTCGGATAATTGATGTCACCTTATAAAATTAATTCGATTAAATCATTTTTATCGCTTTTTACTTGAATTATTTTAATTTAATTTCTGTGAAAAAAATTGTAAAGATAATTTCTGTCGAAAGTTAAAAATTTTCATTATATTTATATTTATATAAATAAATAAATATATGAGTAATACCTGATTTTTATTACAAATATCAACAAGATAAGTTTACAAAATGACTAATGATTTGTACAGTGTTTTAATTAAAAACTATTATTAAATTAAATTATAATTTAATTATTATTAGTTATCAAATTTTTTAAAAAATAATTAATTAAATATTTTTATTCATTTAAAATTAATATTTAAATTTTTTATATTTTAAATTTTGGCGCCCTTATTGATAAGTGGCGCCATTTTTAAATTTTCTTCTGCAGTTGCGCAGTTTGCCGCTTGGAGGCGTCTCTGTGTTATTATTGAATGTTGACATTTTTTAAAGCACATGTTTAGTGTACATATTTGCTCCAAGTAATTAAAATTCAATTTAATTAGTAATTATTAGTAATTTTATTAGTTTATAAATAAATGTCAAGATGAAAGTAAAAACATTGACCAGAAATCCTGATGAATATTTAAGAGAAACAAAAAGAGATCTCCATAAGCGTAAGTTGTATTTAATATAACCTAAAATTTTTAATTTTATTATAAAAAATAAATTTTAATCAGCTGATCTGAATATTTTTAATTTTTTTAATAAATAAATTGTAATTTAAAAAATATTTTCAAAAGTTAACAAACATCTGACAGTTTTTTTTAATTTTATTAAATTTTTTTTTGCTTTGCATTTGTAATTTTTTTAAAAATAATTTAATTGTAAAAAATTGACGTGTAATTTTCTTAGCAAAAATTTATTTAAAAAAAAATCATTTAAATTTTCAGCTGTTAGATAAAATTAATTTTTAATATTTAAAACTTATTAATTTAATTTTTTTAGAGCCAAGAAATTATGATCCATCCTTGCACCCGTACGAGGCTGCTCGTGAGTACACCCGAGCTCTGAACGCGACAAAACTAGAGCGAGTGTTTGCAAAACCGTTCGTCGGAAACTTAGACGGTCACAAAGACGGCGTGTCAAGTGTCTGTACTCATCCAAAATATTTATCAGTGTATCTAAGCGGAGCTTGTGACGGAGAAGTAAAGATCTGGAACTTGCCAACGCGAACATGCCAGCGGACAATTTTAGCCCACGATGGAGAAGTAAAAGGCATTACTTTCGCCAGTGATAAAGAACATTTTATCACTGTTGGTAATGACAAGTCCATCAAGACGTGGAAGTACTCCAAGGCTGAAGAAGAAGAAGAAGAAGAAGAAGAAGCAGATGAGCCTACCAACACAATTTTCAGCAGAGTAAGTTCTCTTATTTTTTAAAAATTCACGTTTTAATAATTTAATAGATAATTAAAAATAAAAAAATTAATTTTGACAATTAAAATTGTTTCAGAAAATTCTAACAGGCATCACTCATCACCGGAATAAACCTTTGTTCGCAACTTGCGGAGAAATTTGTCAATTATGGGAAGAAACAAGGAACGAACCTGTGAAATCATTCCAATGGGGAATTGATGGCTTGCTGGATGTTAAATTCAATCAAGTACAGACGAATTTACTTGCTGCGTGTTCTAGCGATCGCAGTGTAATTCTGTATGACACAAGAGACGTAGGACCCATGAGAAAAGTTGTCATGAAACTAAAAACCAATCAACTTGCTTGGAATCCCATGGAAGCTTTCACATTCACTTGTGCGAATGAAGATTACAAGTACGTAGCTTTTAATTACTCTGATAGTGTTACATATTTAGCTTTATACTAGTTTAATACGCGCTTGTAAATTTAAGATCAGGTTGACTAAAGGAGAAACTTTTAAATATTTAATTTGGATCATATTGCTTATAATTTATTTAAAAAAAAAAAATTATTTAATTATTCTTGAGCAGTGTCTTGATTATTAAGTTAATCAAGATATTTTGTTAATGTGATTAAGTAAACTTGATCTGTAAGAATCTGTATTATTCGGAAAATATTTAGGCTGCATTCAAAAATGCTTTATCTCTAGGTAAATAATTAAGAAATGACCTTGTATTTTGTGAACTATTGACATTTTTAAAGATATAAGCTCATCTTGATGTTACACTCATCAAGACCTTTCATTTGAGTACCCACATCAATTTTTCATATATTTTATATATTTATATATTATATATATATGTATATATGAAAAATATATAAAAATGCATGTGGGTACTCAAATGAAAGCTCTTGATGAGTGTAACATCAGGATGAGCTTATATCTTTGAAAATGTCAATAGTTAAAAAAGTACAGTACAATTTAACAATTCATTATTTAATAAAGCAGAATTTTATTTATTTATAGTTTACAAGTCGTGGCAGTCACATAGTGACTGCAAGGTTGCTAGTTTTTTTTAATAACATTTTATTTTTATATTTAAAAAAAAATAATTTGATATTTTTATAATAATAATAATATTAAATTTACAGTTTGTATACATTCGACACTCGTCATTTAAAATCACCGATAAATGTACACCAGGACCACACCAGCGCAGTTGATACAGTTGACTATTCACCAACTGGTCGAGAATTCGTATCAGGTAGTCACGATAAATCAATTCGCATATATGAAGTCAATAAAGGACACGCTCGTGATATTTATCACACAAAACGAATGCAGAAATTGAAATGTGTCTCCTGGTCTCTCGACAATAAATATATTATTAGTGGTAGTGATGAAACTAATATCCGGGTATGGAAAGCTCGGGCCTCGGAAAAATTGGGAGTGGTAAGTCATAAAGCTCTATTATTTATAATTCAATTATTTTCTGTTCGTTGAATCAGATTTGTTATGCTCATTTGTGATTTATTTAACAGCTGAAGCCTAGGGAAAGGATGGCTTTGAATTATAGTTCTGCGTTGATTAATAAATTCGCAGCGCATCCACAAATTCGTAGGATTGCGCGTCACAGACAAATACCCAAACATATTTATAATGCGCAGGCTGAATTACGGACTATTCGGGAGAAACAGAAGAAAAAGTATGTATTTTTATCAGAATTATTTTCATTTATAAAAAATTTATTTATCATTTTTAAAAAATGTATTTTTAATTATTTTTTAAAAAATATATTTTTAATTATTTTTTAAAAGTAGTATTTTTAAAAAATGTATTCTTAAAAATATATAAAAAAATTTATTTTTAAAAATTTAAAAAAAAAAAATTAATTTTTCAGAGAATCAAATCGTCGTGCTCATTCACGTCCTGGAACTGTTCCATTTGTATCAGAGAGATCGAAGCATGTTGTCCGAGAAGAAACATAAGTTTAAAAATATTTTTTTTTTCATAAATAATCAATAAAAAAAAAAATAATTCGTAATAAATAATTTTATTATTGAAATTATACAACATATTACCGTGATAATTTTATTTTTCAAATTTCCTCAACACACAAACTTCAAAGCGAGTAATTAGGTGTATTTTTTAATTTTTTATTTTTAAGATAATCTGTAGTACTTACTCATCACAAATTTTAAATAGTTACTTGGTAGTGCTAATTTACAATTAAGTTCAATTTTTAGCGATACATTTTACTTTTATTACAATTAAAGTTAAACATTTACTGACCAAAAATAATAGGATTTATAATTTGTAATTTAATGAGTATCGCTTGTTCTATACGTACAGATATATATTTAAATTATCGTGATAATTTAATTAGAGATACGATAGAGATAGTCTGGCGTATAAAAGCGTATGATCCGCCCCTTGTTTATGCTTACATCATTTATTTCTTCATACAATATTTATTTTCGAATATAAACTATTCACACAACTTCTGTACAAGACTAGGTTTCAATAAAATCAATCGAAATTTTTTTTTCACATTTTTATCGATACAAAAAAAATATCAAAGTTTTAAATTTAATATTTATACTTTCTCTTTTCATGATAATAAAAAAAAAATTAATTAATTAATTAAATAAATGACAATGTTCAACAATAATTATATAATTTATATACATATAAACACATTTACATTAATTTATTTTATAATAAGACATTTTTATCGAAACCACATTTAATTAATTAAATATCGTGGTAATTTTTTTTTTCTCATTTTCGGTCACTAAAATTATTTATTATCGAATGGCAGTGACTGACGCAAAAAATTTAGGATAAAATAAAATTTATAAATTCATTTGACTTAAAAATACAATCACGTATTTTTTTTTTTTTTCTAATATATTTATATATTATATAATATAAATTAATGATAAAATCTATTTTTGACTTTCAATCGCCATAATTATCACTTTTACAATATATTTATATTTATTTTTTAATTAATAATCACAATTAACAGTTTATTGTTAAATAAAATTAAATTAGACATTTAAATCAGCCATCATTTTACGAAAGTCCGCTAGAGTATTGTAATCAGGGTCTGAATCAATGTCGGCGAAGTCTTTGTTGGAGTCTGTCTTGACGAAGCTCGGATTGTAGCGGCTTAGAGACAGAGGACAAGGTAATAGCTCCTTCATTACTGAGTGGTGAGTTATTAGTGCAGTTAGGGTTGTAAATTCCTTTGTAAAGCCCTGAAACAAATTTATTTTATTTTTATTACAAGTTTGTTTATTTTTTTAAATATTATTTTCAAATTTATTAAAATTCTATTTTAAAGTTTTAATTTAGTTATAAGTTTAAGGGTTCAATATTCTAAGGGTTATTTTCTAATTTAAGTTTGTAGTATCTAAAATTACTTATCAAACTTATCAATTTTTTATTTAAAAAAATAAATTTGAAAAAAAATTTAGAGCAAGATTTTAATTAGTTACAAATTTTTTTAGCAAATTTGAATGGATTTATATTATTAAATTAGTTGGCATATATAGATAAAAAAAAATTATTAATTAATTATTTTAAATTTGAAAAGAAAATTTTTTTTTAAATTTAATAAATAAAGTTTAATTATATTAAACAAAAATAATGTTGTAAAAAAATAGCACTCTAAATTTTCTATCAGCAGTAGAAATATCATAGATAAAATTGAATAGATAAGAATGTAAATAAACACAAATGGGATTTAATATAATAGATATTTTATACAAAGCTTTCTTTAAATCGAATGTCATATCAAAGTATTAAATGTATAAATAATTTTTTATGTTTCAACGGGATTTAAGTGGAAATTTTTATACGATACAATTCTCCGAGTTCATTCTATCACTATCAATAGTTTTTTATTGATAAATATATTTTATATATTTACAACTCTCGGAAATTTATTTCCAACGTGAGTTGCGAACTTGGTAATAAAAATATACTTTGTAAAAATCCAATTGACGAGTCTGGAGAAATATTACTTTTGCAAGGTAATAAAAGTGAGATAAATCTAAAATTTATCTTCTCTAAAACAATTTTTAATTTTTTCGTTTCTATATTTGTTAATAAATATTAAAGTACTAATAAATAATTAATAAAGTTTTTTACTGTGCTTTTGCACAATATTAAAAATTAACTAAATACAAATTTTATCTTCTCTAAAATTTTTTTTAAGAATATTTTATTAGAATAAAAATAAAAAATGAATTTTTTGGCTTTATATCTGTTGATAAAAAAAATAAAAAGAAATATTAAATTATCAATTAATGATTAAATAATAAAATTAATCAATGAAGACTAATTTCTTGACTTGAAGCCCCGGGGTAATTATAATTTACACATAATAATCACAGCATTGAAATTGGATGATCAAAGTAAAACAGAGAGAACAGTAGAGGAAGTACGTTTGATTTCCCTGTGGCCCTTTCTATAAAACTCATATCGAATACTATATGTGTTCCTCTGCTCGTATGTACCATCAGGCTATGGGTTGTGTATATTCCATCATGATAACTACCATCCTTTCTCTCAACCCTTCATCCATCCTTTTTATATATACATTCATAATTCTATATATATTTTACTCCATACTGGCAGTATGGACTCAGAATGTGCAGTCTCGACATCCTCAGGATTATACACGTGAAATTCCAATCGTAAAGTTTGTTGGATTAGCCGGATCATCGTAGTCTCCGTTTAGTTCTCAAATTCGTTACTCGAGAAACTCCTAACTCTATATATCCTTCTCTTTACTCATCCCTACTACAACGGTTACTACAAATAAAAATGTAGAAAAACTACAATTGGCAAGAAAAGAAACATCCAACTATTTTAACATTTCAAGTTTTTACAATAAAAACTTTAAGAGCTGGTAGTAAATTCTTCTCGGATAGTTTTAGTTAAATATTTATTGATTACATTGTTAAGCCCATCAATATTGTCAGAACTCGGCTGGTTGTTAATTTCTTTTTTTTAACGTTTTTTATATATTGAAAAAAGAATTTTTTAATAATAATTTAATAAATACTTATTAATTATTTTTATAATTAACAAATGACCTTGTATCTTGTTAATTATTGACATTTTTAACGATATAAGCTCATCCCGATGTTACACTCATTGAGACCTTTCATTTGAGTACCCACATCAATTTTTCATATATTTTATATATTTATATTTATTATATATATATGTATATATGAAAAATATATCAAAAATGCATGTGGGTACTCAAATGAAAGCTCTTGATGAGTGTAACATCAAGATGAGCTTATATTATTAAAAACGTCAATAGTTAAATAAGTACAGGGCATTTTAACAAATATCTTGTAAAATATTGACATTTTTTGAAATGTAAGTTCACTCCGACATTATACACATCGAGACCTTTCATTTGAGTACCCACATCAATTTTTCATATATTTATATATATTATATATATGTATATATGAAAAATATATCAAAAATGCTTGTGGGTACTCAAATGAAAGCTCTTGATGAGGGTAACATCAGGATGAGCTTATATCTTTAAAAAGGTCAATATTTAAGAAAGTACAGTGCAATTTAACAAAAGTCATTACTTAATAAAGCAAAATTTTATTATTTATAGTTCACAAATCACGCCTTTAAAACTGTCGATAAATTTATTTATAAAAAAAAAATAATTATTCAAACATAATAAATTATTTTATTAAAAATGAATAAATTCTTCCTATTAATGTAAAAGAATTTTGCTAGAAAAAATAATAAATCGACTTAAAGTTAATATGAAATATTATGTAATGCAATAAAAAATAAAAGAAGAAATGTAACATACTTTTATCTTGTAGCCTTTGTTTGTTCGCATGATGAGATAGTGAGCAATTCCACTGGGTTGAAAGTCACGTGGAACGCGCAAGGATAATGCATAGCATCCAGGTTTGCTAGTACTCTCTCTAACCATGAAAGCACCTTCCGGTTCTTGGCTCAACACCTCCAGCGTTATTTCCCTGTCGTCATAAATAACATCGAGCTCAAGTAAAGGAAATGCAAATCAACAATAGAAAGAGTATCACATACTCTATTATTATATTTATTTGTACGAGTGAGATGTAAGAATATTAACGCCCGCGCAATGATATGAAGCTATGATTATCATCACGATAACGAGGTACAACGTTGGCGGTCGTACTGTCAACCGTCATGCAACCCGAGCTAAGTACTTTGATTATATTTTAATGGTGTACATATTAATATTCTTCGCAGTAAAACAAGCTACAAGAGGAATCCTACTGTTGTTGTATTACATAATTATTAATTATTCGTATTCATATATATTATTTATGGGTGTCTTTGTTTTACAAACAACGGAAATGAAGGTACTATTTATGCAATAAATTTCTTTTTATTATCGGCTTTTTATCAATTTTGTTTTATATTTTCAAGAAGAAATGTAAAAATTTTTTACTTAATAAAAATCAATTGAATAATTTTTTAAGAAGCTAATTTAAATTTTTTATATCTAAAAAAAAATCTTTATATGAATAATAAAATGTATAAATTAATTATAGAAGTTAGCTGAAATTTTTGATACGAGAAAAATTTAATTTTAATATTTAAAAAAAGTTCTAAAGAGACTGTAGATGAAAATGGCGTTTTTAAAGTTAAAAGCGCGCGATTTTTAAAAAAGAACATCAATTTGCAACCAAAGGGCTTTTTTATTAATTAAAAAATCTTTATTTGATTTATAAAATGTATGAAATAATTTTATGAGTTAGTTAAAGGTTTGTACAAGGAAAAAATTCAATTTTAATATTTAAAAAAAAGTTATGAAGAGACTGTAGATGAAAAAGGCGTTTCTGAGGTTAAAAGCGCGCGATTTTTAAAAAAAGAACATTAGTTTGCAACCAAAGGGCTTTTTTATTAATTAAAAAATGTTTATTTGAATTATAGAATGTATGAATTAATTTAAAAAAGTTAATTAAAGTTTTGTATAAGGAAAAAATTCAATTTTAATATTTAAAAAAAAATTATGAAGAGACTATAGATGAAAATGGCGTTTCTAAAGTTAAAAGCTTGCGATTTTTAAAAAATAAAATTGTATAAACGAACCTAGGTATACCAGCTTGAAACCAAGGAGCTTTTCTAAGTTCGCCTTCCTCACACCGGTTATTAAGACTATCAGTTCTTTCGGGAAGTGGGGGTGGAGTGGGCGTCGAGCCGTGAGTACTTCCATCAGCTGGTACGGAGCTGCTTGAAGTGCTGATTTGAGAGCGGCGTTTTGTTTTAAAATCAGTGTCGCCACTGTTCGGCGAATTGTCAGGCGCCAGTCTGTGAAAGCAAAAGAATTGTTAATCAATAGACGTAACAAGTTTATTGAAGTTTATATTAAATTGGCACTCTGGAGCTGGGAGTTGGAAGTTCTGAATTTAAAGTAAAGTATTAATTGAGTACCTGTTGTTCTCGATATTGAAATTCTTGGTGGTAATTGAAACATTGATAGTATTGTCGATATTGTCGGACGCCGGAATCTTATTGTAAGTCGTTCTGGTGGCCTCGTTGTCAATAATAGCTTCATTTATGTATCCACCTGAGTGCGGTCGATTTGTTGGACTAGTTGGCGTGCTACTCCCGCTTACCAGGGGACAACTGTCGTCCTCGCTATTGAGACCCAGGACTCCGCCCGTGAGGCCCATTGTCAGCCGCTTTATCAGCGGGGGCTTGTCCGTCAGTCTCTTGTACGAGTTCAGCTCCGTCGGGGAATTACTCTCGTCGCTGCTCGGCGTACTTTGTTGCGAAATGCTCTTTGGGTCATCTTGGTTCGTTAGTGGTCCCAGGACGTTGGAGAACGGGTGGGACGGTCTCAGGCCTGGTATTGAGTTTGGTGTCTGCAATAAGTCATTATTACACTTAATAAAATTTTTAAAGCTCTGATTTTTTGAGAATTTGCAATTAGTATTTTTTTTTACAATTTTTAATGTCCAAAAAAAATTTCTCTAAATTCAAATTGTTAAAAAAAAAAAAATAAATTTTATAGCACAAAATTTTGAAAATTTTTTAAACTTTAAAAAATTTATTAAACTAAATGAAATTTATTTTAAATAAGAAAAATTTTTATTTATTTAGCTGAAAATTTTTTTTACTTTAATAAAATAAATTTTTTAATTAAAATTAAATTTATTAAGAAAAAAAAATAATTAAATGATTTAATAAAAGAGAAATAATAACTTTGGTCCAAAATTTTTCTACTAAACAAATAAATTTAAATAAAAATAGTTGACGCCAACAATTAACTATAAATAGACTGACAAGACAATTCTCGATAGACTCGATCTAGACACGACGATTAAGCTCTAAAGACCATAAAAAGAGCGAAAAAATAACATACCTTAACGCTGGCGAGTCGCAGCGTGGGCGAGCCGGCACTTCCAAGCTGGACGTTCATGTCCGCAGTTGATGTGCCGTTTCCAGAACGAGACGTGGGCGCCGAGCGACTCTTCAGCCACGAATTTGAGGACGGGGTTCTGCAGCCACCCACTAAACCGCCGCCCCCTCCGCCGCTACCGCTGATAACTTTATTCTCTTTCGAGTTATTGTCACCTCCCAGTGGTTTGTTCTGTAATTTAAATCCCCAGTTAATCATCACAGCCGCTGATATTTTGTATCATACGCAACTACACATATTGATGATAAACATGCACAAGTAAATTTAATTTAACAGGACACCAGCCTTATCTATAGTGTAAATATTTTATATTACGCTACATTACATAATATATATTAAGGTGGTCTATTTTCAGCGCTGGCTGCCGAGGATAGTTAAAAAGTCGGCGCTATCACCTAAAATCTTGGGTTAACTTTATAATTAACGCTGTCAGTAAATAGGACACCTTGTGCTAGTTTGTACAGACTTAGTGGTTTCTTTGCTAGCTTGCTTGTTGTTGACGTTGTATTATATTATATACGAAAAGATACATTTAACTTTTAATATATTTTTTTTTTATTTTTAGTTATAAATTTTTATGATTTTTTTTAGACTTTTAATTAATTTTTTTTTATTTATTTTTAATTAATTGAAATTAATAATTTTTTTATAAATAATTTAAATTAAATATTATAAACATTATTTAGACTTTTAATTAATTTATTTTGTATTAATTTAAATTAATAATTTTTTTAATTAATTTAAATTAAAAATTATAAACATTTTTGAGACTTTTAATTAATTTATTTTGAATTAATTTAAATTAATAATTTTTTTAATTAATAAAAGTATAATATTGATAAAAAAAATTAATGAAGAAAGGAAAAAAAAAAGTGTAATTTTTCTGGAAATAACAATCTATCGGTAGCCAATCAATCGTAAATTTTAATTCACATTGTACGGGTGATATTGTAAGTTCACTCACCCAGACGTTTTTTTGTTCTTGGGCGGAATCTTTCCGATAAATAGTCGTTGATTGAGGTGAGATCACATCCTGGATAATTGGCTGGCGCTGTAATTGCGCCACGTATGCCATACGAAAAGCATTGCCAACTATTGTATTTAATTCTTCAGCCTGAAATTAAATAAAATATTTATTATTATTAGTTCAGATATTAGTTAAATTACATAGGAATTTATAAACATTCAAAGTATTTGAGAACTATGTTGATTTCTCCGAATTCCAAAACAGGAATTTATCCGATATTTTTATTTTGTGCCTCGCAAACATTCTGAACCTTTGGAAATATTTCAGATAACTTTAAAACTGTTTTAGATATTTTTTAAAATTCTGACCAGTGATTAGAATTTTTGTTACTTTTTAGATTGACAAATATTTATAAAAATGTTTTAGAAACTTTGATAAAAATTAATTATCATTTTGTAATTACAATAAATTAAATATAAAAATTTTTTAACTATTTTAAAATTAAAAATTTTAAAGATAAAATAATATTTTTAAAAAATCTAATTTTTCATCGTGAAAAATTTTTTTTACGCTAAAAAAATTCACTATATTAAAATTAAAAGATAAAAAAACTGAACTAAAACCACACATTAATCTCCATCAGTTATAACACGAGTGTCGAGTGATAAAATTCAGCTTAAAGTAAACAAATATTAAATTTAGAAACGTTTGAGTATAAAATACAACGAAAACACGTCGAGCGGTAGAATTTCGTCTGACATGCAGAATATGTTTATACACAGGAGCATAATCATCATACAAATACAACTACAAATCCATATGAATATGATAAAATGAGAGACATATGTAGGACGTAGATAGAAAGTAGGCAGCAGTATATATATAATATATATATATATTTGATATAAATGGTTGCTGTTTCGACTGTGGTCTGCAGACTGCATTGCTGGTTGCTGCCTAAGCCGGATATACTCAAACAGGGAGAAGTCAGGAAGTATGGCTCGTACCCATGTGGGATACATGTTATGTTCATAGATGCATGCTCCACGCACACTATTTTACATTTTTCCTTTTTCCTTTCATATTCGGTTCAGTCTTTTGCTTCGTCGTCTTTCGAAAAGTCAGCACCGCGGATTCGCGCACCGCGAAAGTGTCTGCAAGCCCCACTGAGCTTGCATCCTTCCATTTACATACATATTGTATTAATATATTTTTTTGCTATTCATGATATTAAAATTAGCCGTTCTACAGTTTTTGTATTTTTTTATCAATTAAATTAAAATTTTGCTTTGTTGAAAAATGACTTTTGTTAAATTGCACTGTACTTTCTTAAATATTGACGGTTTTAAAAATATAAGCTCATCCCGATGTTACACTCATCAAGAGCTTTCATTTGAGTACACACATGCATTTTCATATATTTTTCATATATACATA